TTCAGGAAGTAGGATATGAACAAGAAGCAATAGTAATAAGAGAAGAAATTCAAGCTGTACCGAAGGTTCAAGGAATTAATGGAATACTAATTGAAGAATTTCAGCAAACAGCTGTAGCCCTGGACATGCTCACTAGCCACAAATTTCCAAAGAAATTTGGAAGACAATTACTCAGCCAACTGGCTTAAAGAGATCTATATTTGTTCCCATTGCCCAAAAAAGATGATTCAACAGAGTGTAGAAAATTATCAAACAATACCATTAAAATAATATACAAGTGAAATCTTGTTGAAGATAATTTTTAAAAAGCTTGAACAGTACATTTAGTTCTAGAACTTCCAGAAATTCAAGTTTGATTTAGAAGAAGAATGAGGGATATCACTGATGATGTCACATGGATTGTAACTGAAAGCAGAGAATGCCATAAAGAGGTTTGCTTGTATTTTATTAGCTATGAAAGAAAGACACTTGTGTAGATTGTAATAAAGTACGAATTACATTGAGAAGAATAAGCCTCCCAGAACACTTAATTGTGCCGGTGCAAAACGTATTACCAAGATCAAAAAACAACTATCCAAACAAAACAAGGGACCACTGCATGGTTTAAAGTCAGGAATGGCCTGTGTCAGAGTTGTAATCTTTCTCCTTACATGTTCAATATGTATATTGAGCAAAGAAGTTGTGATATCAGGGTTGGAGTAGGATTCATAAATAACTTGCATTATGGAGAAGACACAACCTTGCTTGCAGAAAGTGAAGAAGAGTTCAAACACTTATTGAAGAAGATCAGACTATTATAGCCTTCAGGATTGGTTACATCTCAATATTAAGACAAAATAACAAAACAAAATGGCAATATCATGATAGATGATGAAGAGATTAAAATTGTTAATGGTTTAATTTTGTTGGATTCACAATCAACAACCATGGTAATAGTAGTCAAGAAAAAAAAAGATGTATTGCAGGGAAATCTACTGTAAAGAACTTCTCTCAATTGCTAAAGAACAGAGACGTCACTTTAAAGAACAAGGTGCACTTGATCCAACCCATGACATTTTTATTTGCTCCCTATAAATCTGAAAGTTGGAATGAATAAGAAAAACCATGGAAAACTGATCTTTTGAACTTTGATGTTGGCAAAGATCTCTGTTAAATATACCACAGAGTGCCAGAAGAACAAACAAATCTGCCTTGGAGAATGAGCATCCATCCAGGGTGCTCATTTGAGGCAAAGAGAGTGAAAGTGAGTCTCACATACTTTGAGCGAGTTATCAGGAGGGGCCAGTCCTTAGAAAAAAAGACATCATGCTGGAAAAGGTAGAAGGTGAGTGAAAAAGAGGAGAGTCCTCAACGATATGAAGTGATACAGTGACTGTAA